AATAAAAGCTGAAAAGTCTGCGGAAAATTTTAATAACACAGATACAAAAATGTTTTAGAGCAGTATAAATTGTATCAGTAACAAATAAACTGTGAGCCAAGTTACTAGTGTGAGAGAAACCACTGGTGAAATAATATTGCTCTTACGTGGAGAGACCACTTTCAAGCAATGTGTTACTCAATAAAAAATACATAGTACAAAGTCCTCATTGCTTAGAAAATGCAGCTGTCTAAATTAGGTATTGTAGGTATTAACATAAGTGCCAGTGAGGTTTTCGCAACAATAAAAAATCTAAAATCAGGAAAAGCAGCTGGTCAAGCTGGTTTATGTTTGGAAGCTTTTTTGAGTGATGGAAAAAAATTACTTCTAATTAGTATGTTTTTTTGACCTTTGTTTAAGGCATTTACAAAGAAATTTTTGTAAATCTTCAATTGTACATTTGATAATGTTGATCACTGGCTTCTGTTCTATAATCTATTAGATCAAGGAATATCAAAAAATATTGTGAATCTGCTTTCATTTTGGTACAGAAACCAGAAAAAGCAATTAAGCTTTAAAAAAATCATTCAACTGATTACGCTTTAACCAAGTAACTCATGTAACCAATGCCTTTAAGGTGGTACTACCCTATTAAAAACATCATAAAACAAAAAAAAATTATTAAAGTACTTAAATTAGCATTAAATAAGGTAGTTTTTGAATCATTAGCAACGGCCTTAGTAACCATTTCTGTTTTATATGTTTGCCCTATTTTCACAATTTTTTCATTGGTATTGTAAAAAGGTTATTTTGATACAAAATAAAATATTAAAGAGGGGTTAATCATATTTTTGTGGCCAGTTTGGATGTTTTTTAATTAGAGATTTTTTTAGTTTATGATATTTTTTATTGTAAAAGCTGTTTTTCTCAGAGTAATATTTTTCAAATATTTTTTAAACTAAAACATTGATATCTCAGAAACTGTTTACTCTTTTTCTTTGCAGTTTTCACAGTTTGTTCATTGATGTTGTAGAAAGGGCTGGTAGTAGAATAATTAAAAAATATTTTTTACTTCGACCAAAATTTCACATACCTTACGGATCACATTTTATGATTTTCACAGGCTAATATCTGCCATTTTGCTTTGGCTCTGTATTTAAAAAAAATTCCACTAGGGGCCCACAACCAACCATTTAGCTATATGTTTGTAAAATTTAAAGCTTTTATCTCAAGTATTACTCTAATTATTATGTTCTTGTGACTGCATGTTTTTTGCTTTTTTTTTGCTGATTCAGCATTTTTTTGTACTTTGTATTTTTTTGTACATTGTTTTTATACTCAGTTTTTAAACTAATATCGAAAAATGTTTATCATTTTAAGAAAAATATCATATTTTGAAAAATAAAAAATGTAGGGTATTACCACCTTAATGATGACTGTTTTACAGTCTTTTTTAATCTAAAGCCTTTTGACACAGTAAATCATGTCATTCTTTTAAAAAAACTTGAAAATTATGGAATAAAAAACATATTATTTTACAATGGTTTAAAGAATACTTATCAAACAGACAACAATACATTCAATATGAACGAAAAAAAGTATGGACAAAAACGGTAAAAAGTATGGAGTTCCTCTATTCTCAATCTTAGAACCGTTACTGTTTTACAAAGTAAACAAATGGTTAATTTGTAACAAACTTTTGCTTAGCGTTAGCAAAAATAAGCTTATTCTATTTCACAAACCTATCAACATAGAAAACATTCCTTTTGGATTACCCATTCTTAAAATTAATGATATAAATATTACTAGACAAACATCTGTAAACCTTTTAGGTGTTATTTTAGACAAAAATTTATTATGGATAAACTCTTGAAAGATAAATTTCAATAAACATTGCAATAATGTATAAAGCCAAATTATTTTTAGGTATTAGGCCTATAAAAAATTTATATTTTTCTTTTATACATAGCTATTTAACTTAATGGACAAACACCAGCTACGCTAATTTATATAAAATTTATACTAAATAAAAACATGCATATAGAACCGTATTTGGATTTGGATCTGTGCCTTGAGAGCCACTTTTACGTAAACTCAAAGCATTAAATGTGTTTAAATGTAACATTTTCCTAGCCATAAAGCTCAATTATAAAATAAAGCATGGACTGTCTTCAATGATATTCTATTCTTATTTTAGAGAAGTAAGCCATAAATACCCCACCAAGTTTTCAGAAAATAATTTTGTTACTCAAAAATATAGTCTAAAGTTGTGTTCTTATTTAATTCAGTAGTGGAAAACTGCTTTTAGTTTAGGAAATGGTGTACGACAAGGTGGTATTTTTTCACCATTACTATTTAGGTTTTACATTAGTAATCTAGTATTTAAAGTTTCAAATATGCGTATTGGGAACAATATAAGAGGAATTTTTCTGAATATTCTTGCTTATGCTGATGACATAGTACTTAAGCTCCATCTTGCTTTTCTCTGCAGAAATTATTAAATGCAATTAATGACGAGGCCTAATTAATTAATATATCTTTTAACATAACAAAAACAATTTGTATGGTTTTTAATCCAAAACAAAAATCAAAAATTGTGTTATTGTCATTTCCAAAATTGATTGTAGCGGATTGCAAACTAGAAGATGCTGACAACTATAAATACCTTGGTCATTTTGTAAAAAAAAAATAATCTATAAGATAATACGGAGGGATAAAAAGTCTGTATACTCAAACAAATATGTTAGTAAGACGCTTTTACAGGTGTTTAAGCAAGTTAAAGTAAAATTATTCAAAGCACATTGTATATTCTTATATAATGCTTCCCTGTGGAACAGTTTTAACACAAAAACATTAACGCATCTACGATCTTACTATAATAAATGTGCAAAAATATTTTTTGGATGCCAAAAATATTGCAGCCTCTCTCGGATGTTTTTAAGGTTAAAACTCTTATCTTTTGACACTATTTTGTTTAACTCTAGGATGAGTTTGAAGAAACAGCTTGTTGAATAAGCCAAAATTAATTTTTTACTGTTGGTTTGGTTAACAGAATATTATAACTGTCCGAGCCCCCTAGCCCCCTCCCCCTTCTTGATCCGGCACTGGCAGTATATGTACTTTTTATTTATTCTTTATTTAATTTTAACTATGGACCTTGTGCTTTTTTATATGTTTGAATTAAATACGTTAATAATTATAAATAAATAAATTATATATATATATATATTTAATTAACAAAAAAAATACAACTTTATAATAGAACTTAAAGCTTCATGATAATCATTAGCCATATACATATTTTTAAATCAAGAAAAAAACGTTAAATACAAAAGTACTCAAACAACATTAGACTAGATTTTGACGTCAAAACAAAACAAAAACAAAATTGTAGCGTAAAAACTGGATTAATAACCGGTGTCACGTTAAGCTAGAAAGAATTTGCTTATATGCCAGCACTTTAATATTATTTCACTCTTTATAGTTTATAGAATAAAGTTTAATACTTTTTATTATTCCATAATTTGTGTTATAGACCCTGTTATCTAATATGTATATTAGATTTATAGTATTTTGGTGAAAAATACATAAGCTTTGGTTTAATACTAACTAAAAAGTCGCCAATTTCGTTTATCGTTGAAAAAAAGTCACCACGCAAAAATCTTTTTTTAAACGCAATGTTCCATGTATCGGTTAAATTTTTTTTCTAAAGGTTCATCAACCTTGGTTTCACAAGAATCAGAATGTTATAAAAACCTCAACATTCACCATCTTTTTTATATAAAATATTGTTTATAAAAAAAAAGTTGTTGCTACAAAATGTCTTAACAAGGAATACCAAAAAATTATAACCTTTATAAAACGTTATATAAAGTTATCTATATAAGGCTGTTTGGGGGCACAGCTGGAACCATCATCAAACGGTAAAAGGAAATAGAAAAAAGCAATGTTAGTGTCTACTATTATCTTGTGATGTATGATACATCTAAAAAACAGTAAACTTTTTAAAAATAAAAATTTCAAAAATTTTGTTGCAATGCTTTTTTCAAATATACCGAGAGTTTGGTTTTTAGCTTAAGTTTTTGATATTCTAAATTTAAAGCTCTCAGAACTTATTGCTGATATAGAGTTTAGTTTGTGGCAATAAGATTTTTATCGTTTAAATTTAAACTTACAGAGGCGGGAAATAAGTTAAGATAAATATCGTAAAGATTATTTAAATGTTTCAATAAACAACTTACACGTGACCACCCACTCGGTTAAAGTATCTTTATATAAATATATATATATATATATATATATATATATATATATATATATATATATATATATATATATTATATATATATATATATATATATATATATATATATATATATATATATATATATATATATATATATAAGTAGCTTTAATAACAATAAAGTTTAAATTACGTATATATTAAACAGCTTAACATAATTGTTATATAAAAATTGTTTTTTTTTTGCTTATTTTTTTATATATTTTTTATTTTTTGACGCACAAAATCAATAATATTATATTGACAGCGTAAACGCAATCATTGTGACATTAATGATGCAATGCAACTATTACATTATACAACACCGACTATAAATGTTAAACGTTTATATAAACGTTTACATAATACAGCTTATTTAATTAAATTCCACAATACAAAAATTTAAGTTCTCCAAAAGAAACAAAGAAAATTAAAAGTATTTTGTGGGTGAGAGTAAATTGTGAACTTTGTTAAAATCCGACTATTTGCGTTAATTCAACAAACAAACCTTGATTCATACTGAGTTAGCAATGAATGCTATAATATATTTTATATTAAAAAAATAGGTAAAATGCTAATTTTTAGAATTTCTTTTAAAGAAACAATTTTATTTCTTAATTGTTGCAGACGTCAATCCATTTTAATCGAAGTATAAATACGTTAATTTTGAAGTTATCAAAAAGCTTTAAATGCGAGGCAATTTCGAGGCATAGTTACGGAAATTTTTTTATAATTGCCTATTGTGATTTAATAGACAATTGGGATGGTTGCATAGGCGAGGAAAATCAATAAAAAGGTGAAATTTAGCAAAAACTAATATTTTTTAGCGAAGATAGAGTACAAGTGTAGAGCTGAAGACTTTTATTAAGAATGCCAGACGTAAGTTGTTATATGTTATAATACTTTATATATATATATATATATATATATATATATATATATATATATATATATATATATATATATATATATATATATATATATATATATATATATATATATATATATATATATATATATGAGTGGGTCAGAAGCCAAGGGGTACAAGTGACATTTTCATAGTATTGAGATACAGCTGTTTAAAGTATTTTTGTTAAATATACTCAGCTGTTATGTTTTTCCAGTAGAAAGCAGCACAGGGCAGAGATTCACTTGTATCCCTTGGCCACCAACAATTTTATTTGCTTCTATCAAATTCTATACTTAACTTAATTTTGGTAAAATTGTCACTTGTACCCCTTGGCTTTTGACCCACTCATATGTATACACACACAAATGTGTGTGTTTACGTGTGCTTGTGTAAGTATGCATGCATATAAACTTTTTTATACAGAATTGTGAAGCATGCCACAATGCAATTAGAGATACTACAGTCACATTTGAAAAAAAATCTTTTCATCCAGAATGTTTTGTTTGCCATCAGTGCAGAAAACAGTTATCAGGTACTAAAAATTTATTTTTCAAATTTATCAACTTCGGTTTAACAAAATTTTTTAAAGCTTATAATAAAACTAAATTTGTTTATAAAATTAACAGTTAAAATTTGACAAGTCTAGTCGATTATAACAAATATTTATGAAGTAAATCAGGTATTTTAATTATAACTGTTATATTGAACATTCTCATAATACATATTCACGTTTTGTGATATCATTTTATCCTAGTGAAGCTAAACCCAATGCTGTTTAAACATATGTTAAAAACAAAACAAAAAAATTTTAATCCGCACGTGATGAGTTGTACAAACTAAGAATCATTTCATGAACGAACATTAAACTTAATGTTAGTTAATGCCGTATAAATCGTGGAACAAAAGTAAGAGATTTTGCGAAGTATTTAAGTTTTTCATAAATAAATATAATGAATTCATGGAGAATGTTGACAAGTTTAACTCACATTTAATATTAAAAAATGGGCGTTGTGCGCGTATAATATTATCTGTTTGTATATAATTTAGCATAATATAAAAAACTTAATTTTGCTACAATACTCTTATCCTTAGGGCTAGGAGTTTAGACGCTATACTTGCAAATTAGGTCATATTAGACAAAAATGTCAATAAAATGATAAAAAAAAACTTTATAACGAGGTTGAACCCTCCGCGATTAGTATCCTACCCAGTGGGCACGGGACATAAAAAAAAATGTCTTTTGAATGTTTTAGGCGTCTTTAGAACTTCTCTAGGTCCCGTACTTACAGGGTAGTAATACCTTTGTATTTCACAGTATTTTTGTCATTTAAATTTTATTAAATTTTTTACTTAAGTATAAGCTTGTGTCTTTAACTGGCAAAAACCAGAAAAGTTTAAACTGCGATAGTTAATATTAATAATACAAAGAATAATATTGGCGACGAAAACGAAGCATTTATTAAATAAATAAACTTTTTTTAAGACTAATCTCTCAAACGAATTATTTAACCAGCTTAGTAATTTTTACAAAGCAATTAATGATATTGTTTGAATAACATGATATTACTAAGTTAAAAAATTTAAACTTTTGTAAGTTTGTTTATCCTGAACAAACTATATAATCTATGTTAGTCTATTGAACGCGTACTTCTTGTTTGTTTGCTGAATTAACGTTGTAATATTTATATTTCTATTGGCCTCATATTTTTTTTATGTTTTTATAAAATGAAAATATGTTCAAAAACTTACTGATGACTTATTATTTTTAGGCAAATCTATTTTTAAGCACGAAGGTCACAATTACGACCAAGATTGTTATGCTCTTTTTCATGCCAAGAAATGCGCCGTTTGTTACCATCCTTTAACCGACACTAATGTCAAGTACGTAACGTATGACGGAAAATCTTTTCACCCAGATTGCTTCCTATGTGCTAAATGCAAGAAAACATTGCAAGGTAAAGAGTTCTACATTAAAGGAGATGACAAAATATGCAAAAGTTGTAATTAAATGTTATTACGCCACATTTAATTTTACGAGAATGTACAATAATTACTTTATATTAAACACTTCGTTTCTGATATAAATTAATTGTTTTTCCTTATTCCCAATGGCATCAAAAATCAAAAAAATGTGACTTATTAGTAATTAACGCACGCTTTCTGTACAAGATAAAATTATTGTTAACTAGATTATCAACTAAAACGATTTCTGATAATAAAAACAAAATATCTTTATATATATATATATATGTATATACATATATATATATATATATATATATATATATATATATATATATATATATATATATATATATATATATATATATATATATACTTGTGCATAATTTTGAAATTTAACAAAACACAAAATAATATAATTTTATGGAAAGCGTTTCTTGAGTTTTGATGTATTTATAGACTTATTTGGCGTTATGTCATCCACTTAACCTTTTTAACACAATACAAAAAGACAATAAAACGGTTTTGCATATCTATTTTTCATTTGTTTAGGTAAGGCTATTTACAAGCACGAGTCTGATAACTACTGTAAAGATTGCTACAGCACAACTCATGCAAGAGTATGTGGAAAATGCCACCAATCTTTGGTCGAGGCTAACGTCAAATACGTCACATATGGTGACCAAGCCTTTCATCCTCATTGCTTCTTATGCACAAAATGCCAACAGTCTTTGCAAGGTCAAGAATTTTATATTGTAGACGATGATAAAGTATGCACAGAGTGCTATTGAAACGCAAGATACTCAAAGAGGTTTATTTATAAAACATATAGGATTTTAAAAATAATATAACTATAAGATATATATCGCAAAGTATAGCTAATACAAAACGTTGTTTTTTTACTTCACCACCTTTTTTTTTCTTTGCAAAAAACATTGTAGCAACGAAATGAACTGTAAATAAATAATCAATTGAAGTAAAAATGTCAATTGAAATAATTAATCAATTGGCAGGAATTTAAAAATAATTTTAAAATGTTGAGTATATTTTAAATGGGACACATTTTTTCATGGGAATTTTTTACAATAGATGAAAAATCTAATCAAGATTTTGCGAAAACAAATATAATTATTACAAAATATTTATTTCTTAAAATTAATTTTACAAGATGCTTTATTTGCTCAGATTCATGTATTTTTCTTTTCAACTAAAGTCGGTTACCAATATAATCAATAAAAAAATAATTAAGCTTTTTCTTATTTGCGGAACAACCGAAATATAATAGGAAACTAATTTACATAAGAAAATAATAAGATGAATATATAATTAGGAAATAAACGCATAGATTATTTTCATCAAATATTGGTCTATGTAAGCGGAATATTACGCCTTTTTTTTTAGTTTTTATTAAAAAACTAAAAAATAATCATTTTATTATTTAATATTAAATAGTTGAAATATTTCATAATATTCCACATTCTTATTTTTCAACATAATAAAATACACTGGAGGCTGTGTAAGCGCGAATTGGCATATGTGCGAATTGACATAAGTGCGAAGCGTTGCAAAAACTGGCATATGTGCGAATTGGCATAAGTGCGCCAAACAAATTTGCAAACATTGGCATAAATGCGAATTGGCATAAGTGCGAAGCAGTTACAAAAACTGGCATAAGTGCGAACTGGCATAAGTGCGCCGAATAAAAATTATTATTTCACACTTATGCCAGTTCGCACTTATGCCAATGTTTGCAAATTTCGCACTTATGTTTTTCTTATTTTTTTTATTTATTTTATTTCGCACTTATGTTTTTCGCACTTATGTTGCAATGTTCGCACTTATGAAATTCGCGCTTATTCAGTCGTCCCAAAATAAACTCTCTTTGACCGTGTTTTTAATTTATTATTTAAAATTTATTTATCTAACTTAAAAAAAAAAAAAAACGTTTTTTGATAATTTTTATAATTTTTCACTTTAAGGTGCAAAGCGATACACCACGAAAAGTTTTTACCGCCACAAAAATGTCATCAAACAAAAATTTAGTTAGATAACATTTTTTGTCATCAAACTATATTTTTGTAAAAGTTTTCTTATTGGTCAATTTTATAAACAAATATTAATGTTACAGTAGTCAAGATGCAACTGATTGGACAACAAACGTCAAACGTTGTTTTGATGTTTATTAAAAACTCTTTCGATTAGAGATCATACTTAACATCGTATTTAAAAAGAAAAATTTTTCCGAATTTTTTCGAATATTATTTCAGATCACTTGGTAGTAACTTTTTAACTAAAATTATTTTTAAATGACAAAAAATGACAAATTAAATAATTTTCGTAAATTAACGAGACTTGTAACTATTACACCTTTAATTTACGAAACTTGTAAATGTTACGGCAAATATAAAAATTAAAATAAAAAGTGTTAAAGTAAAACCTTTTTTTTTTCATTTTTTGTCATTTAAAAATAATGTTAGTTAAAAAGTTACTACCAAGTGATCTGAAAAAACTATTCGAAAAAATTCGGCAATTTTTCTTTTATAAATTTTTCTAATTATAAATTTCACTGTGGGATCGTCCATAAATTGCGCAATGCAAAAAATATTTTAGGATCAGAAGTAGGAGATATTAAGCTCTTTTACGCGGCGATATTCATTTAACTTAACTTGCTATTTTTATTATTTATTTAAATTAAGACTCTGCGAGGGAAAACTTTTGATCTTTTTTTGTTTTGTTTATTGTGAAATGGGATCGTCCATAAATTGCGTTGCGTAATTTATGGACGATCCCTGTGTATTTTGACTCACGCGTGAGTCAAAGTATACAGTGAAATTTATAATTAAATAGTACGGGCCGGATTTCAAGAAGATCGAAATGATCTTATCACGATGCCCTTTCAATGTGTTTGAAATATATTATGACTATGTTAAATATAATTATATATTAAGTACAACTATATTTTTATAGTCTTTAAATTAAATTAAGCTCATAATATAAAATAAACTCAAAATAAGCTCAGTATAAAAAAATTAAACATAACAAGCAGCATAATAACTAAAATTGATAAGAAAAAGTCAAGTGTTTTTTTATGTGTGTAATAAACAATTTTTGATATAATGTTTGAGAAAGGTAAGACTCATTTAGATAATACACATAAACGAGTCAGTTCCCTTTGTAATTGATATATATGTAATTTAATTTATACTCTTAGAAGAATTCAGAGTAGGGAAAAGGCGCCTATGATGGCATACTTAACTTTGAAGCTTCATTATTCAGTATCCTGAAGACCAAGAACAAAAGTTTTGATATGGAGACATTCTTTGTTACATGTAGAACAATAATAACCTTAGAATTTTTCATCAGTTTTATTTTTTTATTAGTTATTTTTATTTAAAAAAAAGCATAAATATGCCATCATAGGCAATTATTGCTCCTATGATGGCATAGGGCAGAATGGGGATGTATAGCATCAAGAGTAAGTTGAAAATTTCATTCGACCAAAGAGTCTTCCCTCAGAAATGCCATAAATTACGTGTAATCATCCTAATTAACTGATTCGCGCTACACAGCAGCAGTCGAATTTATCGCATGCGCATAAGAGATATTGCGTTTTATGCGTTTTTTGAACCACAATTTTTTTAGTAAAGTAAAAATTTCTTTTTACTTCAATAACAAGTATGTTGTTTTTAAGAAAAGAAAAAAAAAAGGTTTTCTCCACTCGTCAATATTGCAACACACCTAACTCATCAGTATGCCATCATAGGAAGAAGTCATCATTTACATTTAAACAAGCTGTGTCTGCCTTGTTCAAAAGATAAAATTAAAGTAAGTGTTCTACTAAATGCACAAAACTTGGAAATAAAATGCATGAAAATTTTATTTCTGCACAGTTAATACTTAAATCACAATCTTAAATATTTAAAGGGATTAAAAATACAACAGAACATCCCAAAATCGTTTTTTGTTAATTATAAAAGCAATATTTGTGCATAAGGTACGTAATTTTACTAAAACTAATACAAAGTCAGAATAGACATGTTGGTATAATCACTTTTTCCCCATAACCAATATTTATGAAAATATGACCGGTATGCCATCATAGGCGCTATGCCATCATTGGCGCCTTTGCCTTTGTTTAGATTCAGTATCAAATTTTTAACTTTGTTTTCAAGGAATTTTGATTAACTAGATTGCAAGTTGATTTATTTTTAGTTACTAGTTTGTTGTATAAATAAGGACCCCGATATGAAATTAAGAACTGGAAAAGTTTTGTTTTTTTGAAAGGTGTAATAAAGTTTCTCTTGTGTTATATTTATTAACGTTATTTATAAAAAAGTTATTTAAAAAATGGTTTGGTACTTGACCTAATTTAAATTTTAGCACAAACAATATATTTTGGAAAATGTTAATTTGATAAATGTTAAGCACATTCATTTCTTTAAATAAGGGTTCAGCGTGTGTAAATTTGTCTTTATGGTAGATTAGTCTTACAGCATGTTTCTGACATTGATATAAAGTTTTCAATTTGGTTATATGCGTACTCGCCCACGCTATGTTTGCATATATGAGGTAGCCATGTATAAAAGAGAAATATATAAGTTATTTTGCGACAGCATAGGTTTAGCTTTATAAAATAGACCTATTTTTTTTGATATTTTAGTGTTTAAAGCATTTATGTAAGCTTTCCAAGATAAATTTTAATCAGTTATAACTCCTAAAAATTTAGTTTTGTGAGTTCTCTCAATTACTATATTTTCTATTTCTAGAGGGGGTAGAATATTTGGTAGTGTGTTTCTTTGTTGGTTTGAATGAAATAAAGTGTATTTTGTTTTATTTATGTTTAGGGATAACTTATTTGTTTTAAACCATATATTTAATTTTTGGAGTTTTATATTTACATTATCATACAGATTCTTGATGTTTGTCGAAGAGTAAAATAAATTTGTATCGTCAGCAAACATCATAAATTCAAGTTTGCGAGAAACTTTCGGAAGGTCGTTTATATAGATTAGGAACAAAAGAGGAGCAAGATCTGAACCTTGGGGAACACCGCAAGTTAATTTTAATAATTTAGTGTGATAATTAGCATCTGTAAGACACTGTTGTCTGTTATACAGGTAACTTTTAAACCAATGCAGTGTATGGTTTTAAAAATCCGTATTTTTCCAACTTTTTTAGTAGGATTTCATGATCTATTGTGTCGAACGCTTTTGACAAGTCTACAAAGACTCCTAATACAAACTTCTTTTCACAGACTGATTCACTAATTCTATTGATGAGGTCTACGATAGGATGCTCTGTCTAGTGCTGAGTTTAAAAACCATATTGGTTTTCAATCAGGATTTTGTTTGTGGTTAGGTATATAGTTTTGAAAATACGGGAAAGATTAATATTGGTCTGTAATTATTTAAGGAGGATGTATCTCCGGATTTATAGATAGGAATAATTTTAGCTATTTTTAAATAGTCGGGTACAATTCCTGTAATTATTGAACAGTTAAATATTTGAAAAATGAGTTTACTTATTTCTGGGAAGACATTCAAAACTTGATGAGCCTATTTGCAAAACGTGTAAAATCAAAGAAATTGATTTAGAAAAAATATTGAAAAACTGTAGAGCTTGAAGTTACGCATCAACAGAAATTTATATTTCCATTGTCATTTTTTTTAGGACAAAAAAACTTTCAGTTGGTATGATATTTAAATAGATGATAGATTTCAGTATACAGAATGTGAAAATGAAGTTAATTTAATAGTTTTTATTTTTGAGACTTCGCTTTTTGCAGATGGGCTCCTCGCATTTTATTATTACGCATTTAAATGACATTTTATAACATATAAACAATTGAAAAAAATAATGACTAAGGCACCGTTAAGCTCATGTT